CACAGCCGACCCAGACTCTCGCATCTGCCAATGGAGCCATGCGCCCCCGCCACCCACCATCAGCTCTCTGAGAAAACAAGAGCATCTTTCTACTCTCTGTCTATTTGGAGCAGCTCTGGAGATCTGTGGGTTATAGTCATTGAAAGGTCTGCAGAGGGACCATGAAGCCGCCAAACAACAGGTTCTTTGTATCCCAGATTTCTGTGTGTGCGCGCGCTCGCTCACATGTATCCAGGTGCTCAGGGGTTAGGGGCGGCGCGGTGATAAAGAGGCAGAATACCCTTGACATTTCCAGCCACTCCATCCTGAATGGAGGGTCTGAGTAACAGAGCTGACCATACCTGGTGTCTGGCACGTGCTTCAGATCAAAGATAGACCTGTCTGAAAATCCTCCGTGGCATACCTTGAAATCTCTTTCTGGGAATAAGCCCTGAAATACGGAAGGGCGGCCAATCAGATAGAGCCTGCTCTCCAAAGGGACCTTTCAGACTTGCTCTAGGTAAGAAGTCCGATACCAGCCTGGCAGGAGGCCACAGTGGCAGCTCTGCTGGCAACAGATGCCCCTCCCTGCAGGGCCTTGTGTGCTGCCATTTGTCCCTTGTCTCAGCTGCCTACATGGACAGCTTCCTTTCTTTCCTGCACGTCCAAAACCCTTCTGCTACCCTTTCCCCAGCCCCTTTCGTTCTAACACAAGTGTTACATTCCCGGCCTTCTTAGGGGAGTCACAAGGTTTAACAGCTTCATCAAAAAAAGGTAGAGCCCTGGCTGGGTAGCTCAGTTGGTTAGAGCATCATCACAATATGCCGAGGTTGCGAGTTCAATCCCTGGTCAGAGCACATATAAGAATCAATCAGCCCTAGCTGGTTTGGCTCAGTGGGTAGAGCGTTGGCCTGTGGATGGAAGGGTCCCGGGTTCGATTCCGGTCAAGGGCACATGCCTGGGTTGTGGGCTTGGTCCCCAGTGTGGGGCAGGAGGCAGCCGATCCATGATTCTCTCTTATCATTGATGTTTCTCTCTCTTTCTCTTTCCCTTCCTCTCTGAAATCAATAAAAATACATTAAAAAAAAAAAGTCAACCAATGAGTGTATCAATAAGTGAAACAACAAATCGATGTTTCTCTCTCTCCCTTCCTCTCTAAAATTAAATTTTTAAAAAAATATATTTTTATCGATTTCAGAGAAGAAGGGAGAGGGAGAGAAAGACAGAAACATCAATGATGAGAGAGAATCATTGATTAGCTGCCTCATACATACCCCACACTGGGGATCGAGTCTGCAACTGGGCATATGCCCTGACCGTATGCTAGCTGGGCTAAAATTAATTTTTTAAAAAAGGTGGAAGGTATCAACCAACTAACATATCTCCATTTCTCATACCACCTTCCATTGGAAATCAAGTGGGTTCTTCTAGTAATAAAAATATAACAACTACCAATTATCCAGCATTTACCGTATCAGGCACTGTGTTTAGTGGTTTACATACTTTATCACATTGAATTCTAGAAGTAGGTACTATAATTAACCCTACTCTAAATTGTCAAAAATAGCCCTAGCCAGTGTGGCTCAGTGGCTAGAGCATCTGCCTGAGGACTGAAGGGTCCTGGATTCAATTCTGGTTCAGAGCACATGCCTGGGTTCTGGGTTCAATTCCCAGGTAGCCAATCAACGATTCTCTCTCATCATTGATGATTCTACCTCTCTCTCCTTCTCCCTTCCTCTCTCTGAAATCAATAAAAAATAAAATAAAACAACAACAAACACTATCCTTTAAAAAAAAAATGTCAAAAGTAAGGCCTGGGGAATTTAAACAATTTTTGAAGATCACAGAGGGGATTATGTTGTGATTTTGAACCTAAGTCTGTCTACCAGTCCATGTTCTTAGCTACTGGACTACTATCTCCATGTGAGGAACTGGAGGCAGGGAAAAAGGAAGTGGCACAAGAGGAAAACCCAGGGGTGAGGTGGGAGGTAAATCAGGTCTCTCATAAAGGCCCGGTCTGGGGAGCTCCTGGCTCAAGCCTGAGTGGTGGGGTGGAGAGATCAAGAGCGCTAGGTCGGAAATCTCCTCCAGGGCAACACCAGGCGGCTACCAACTCTTTTCTTTTGTCATATTTTCTTCTCTTGGCTTCTGAAACACTGACCTTTTCTGAGATTCCTCCTACTTTACAGATTATTCCTTCCTAGTATTCCTTGTGAGTTCATTTTCCTCTGTCCATTCCTTAAATGTATTCTCTGAAGTTCTGTCTTTAGCCACCCTCCCCTCTTATTTCTTACTAAAGGCCTGGTGCATAAAATTCGTGCACTCAGTCCGGGAGCCCTCGAGGGATGTCTCACATCCTTAGCTCTGCTGGAGGTGGAGAGGCTCCCGTCACAACTGCGCTCACCAGCCATGAGCTCAGCTTCTGGCTGAGCAGCGTGCTCCCTGTGGGAGCACACTGACCACCTGGGGGCAGCTCCTGCATTGAGCGTCTGCCCCCTGGTGGTCAGTGTGCGTCATAGCGACCAGTTGTTCAGCTGTTTGGTCGATTTGCATATTAGCCTTTTATTGTATAGGATACATTACACACATTCATTCTTAATCATTCTAAGGGTTTCATCCACCCTCTATATCCTAATGGCTGCAGGTATCTAATTTTGATAAACTAAAATGGACTTCTTCCTCTAGTAACCCTCTGTAATCACGGAAGGTTCCTTAGTACTTATCTATGTGCATACTTGCCTCCCTCTATTAGACTAGAAGGGCATGCCCAGGGTTTTTCTCTCTCTCGCTCTCTTTCTCGTATCCAGGACAATAGCTGGTAGACAACAGGAGCTCCATAAAGGTTTAATAAATGACTAAAAGTAGACACATATACTCAGCATTTATATTTCAAATTACCTGGTTTTCTTTTACAGAAAGTCGGGGGGGTAACGTCAGGTGAAGAATTTCATTTTTTTTCAACTTTTCATAGCCAGCAACAAAAACTCCTAGAAAAAAAGAAGCAGAAGTAGCTGTGACAAACTGCTAGAAAGACTGTGGACCATAGCTGGTTCTAGAAACTCCGCCAAACTCATTGATACTCAGCCTTGTACTGAGGGATGGAAGAGATCTAGAACTCAGTAAGCGCTGATGGAGCACAAAATTGCCACAAGTGAGCAAGGGGCCCTCAGAAGAGTGGGCTGGGTCCCTCTGGGCTGAGCTCTGGAGTCCCAGCCTGAGTGGGATTCCATCTCCTCACCTTTGTCACCAATCCATTCAAGGACTCGAGTGGCTCCTGGGAGGTCAAATGCGTGGAAATCCTGGTACCTGCAGGAGAGGGACACAATGTCACACGGTGCCTGGCATTTGGCAGCTGTGCAAAGAACTCTGAGAGGCATCACGGTTTGGTGGCTGGAGGCCCCGGGCTCTGGAGTCAGGCAAACCTGGAATCAAGTCTTGTTACACATTCTGCTCCCTGTGTGACCGGAACCAGGCCAGTCACAGTAACCCTGAGCCCCGGGCCTCATCTGTAACACGGACCTCCCAGGGAACCCAGCCTTCGCCGGGTTGATGTGAAGAATCCATGAGACAGCCTAGCCGGTTTGGCTCAGTGGACAGAGCATGGGCCTGCTGAATGAAGGGTCCTGGGTTGGGTTCAGGTCAAGGGCACATGCCCAGGTTGTGGGCTCGATCCCCAGTAGAGGGCGTGCAGGAGGCAGCCGATCAATGATTCTCTCTCATCATTGGTGTTTCCATCTCTCCCTCTCCGTCTGCCTTCCTCTCTGAAATCAATAAAAAGTATATATATTAAAAAGAATCCATGAGACAATTAATCTGGGGTTCAATTCAGAGGCTGGTGCAAAATAACTGGTCACTTATTACCCTGCACAACTCTGCTCTTACTAGTGCCTCACAACTTGCGCCCGCAGGGATGTGCCATCTCCCAGAAGCGGGATCCGAGGCCCAGGCGGAGTCCTCGTGCGGTCCCGCCCGCCCCGCCCAGCCCGCGGGCATCACCCGCCCGGCCGGACCTGGATTCCCCACGCGCTGCGCCTCGCGCCCGCCCGCCCCGCCAGCTCAGACCCGAAAGCCCGGTCCCAGGTCCACACGACTTACAAGCGCAAGGATTCCACCAGCCAGTCCTCTGCGGACTCCATGGCAACTGTCGCTCAGGTAGCTCACTTCCGCCACCCCACTTCCGCCTCAGAAGCTTCCGGGCGGGAGGGGCCTTCTCGCGAGGAGAGGGCGCGTCCCGCTCCGACGCAGGGGGCGTGGCTTCACGCCAGGGGCGGGGCTAGAGTTGCCTGAGCGCTGCCACTGAGCTGTACCCTTGCTCTGCTAGGTTAGCGCTTCTCCCGGCAAAAGTATGTAGAATCAGGGATTCCCGGGATATCAGCTCCGGCCCGGGCCTGAGGGACCAAATACGGTTCGATTTACGACCGGGTATTTGCAGATCCAGAGGGCCAAGGCCAGATAAGATACAGGACGGCTGGTTAAATTCGAATTTTAGGTAAACAACGGAACGTTTTTTCTTGTATGTCCATGCAATATTAGACCATCTTATACGAAAAAAAGGATTGCTTATCTGAAATTCGAATTTAACTGGGTGTCCTTTATGTTTTGCTAACTTTGGCAATCCTACGGAAAGCCAGAGAAGAGTGAGAGAGAACAGCAGGGTCTGGATCCCAGCTGGCCCGCACCCTTGTGGGCGCTGGGGGTTTCCCTCAAAGCTTGGCATGAGCATGAAATGAATGGGGTAAGCAAAGCCCTGTGTAATGTAGGCAGCTGCCTTTTATGGGCGAGGAAACCTGAGAGACTTGCTTGTGCCAGTAGGTGGCAGAGAGGAGAACCAATTGCCTGGCACAGGACCTGGTGTACAGCACGTGTGGAGTACCTGTTTGCTGAATGAGCTAGTGAGGTGTCCTGAGTCAGTGCCAGCCTGGTACCATGGAGTGTTCTGGGCATTTTGGAGCCAACCCCATCTCCAGCCCCCTTCCCCCCACCTCATCCCCTCAAACACACTGGAAGGAGAGGACCAGACATTCTATGTAAAGAGCAGGGTTTTATTCACAACTTCAACAGGGAAGCAAGAAATACAGCAGGAACGTAAGTTGTGTCTGCACTGGTGATATTCCTGGTGACCCAGCCAGAAATCACAGTAATGGAGTAACAGAGATTTGAGCCCAGAATTTACATCCAGATGGGGCCACTAGCAGGGTCCCCTTCAGCACCTTCCCGGGGTGCGCACAGTCTAAGCCACGTTGTGTCTTCCTCATTAATGGCATCACTTCTGCAGCGTTTGCACCAGCAGCCTCCTATACTGAAGGGGAACACAGAAGAGCTGACCTGGGCACAGGGAGCCAATAATAGGGCATTCTGCCATTCCTAAGTGCTAGGCATCCAGAGTCAGACAGGGACAGACTCTCGTCTGAGGCAGGCAGCCCCTACCCCCCCTCCCCCCAGCACCAGAAGAAGGGTGATTTTCTCACATTAACAGCCCAAACCTCAGAGTGGTCATGACATTCAAGGGAGACCATGGAAGTAAATTCCAAGTAGGTGGCTGGCCCTCTGCCAGTGTTAGCGTTTTCACTCCCTGACACCTCACTTCTGAAGCCCGTCCCCAGGGCTAGGTACTGCTTCCTCTGAGATTCTCTAGTTGGTCTGCTCGTTTCAGGCCGCCTAGACCAATGGCCCCAGAGGTAACATCGTCTCCCTTCAGAGTAGCCAGCCCTTTCATCCGAGGTCCCCAGGGGCAGGTGGTTCTGTGCATCAGGAGAGTCACAGCTGCACCTGCTCTAGGGCATGCCCCTCCCTTCTTTCAAAATGTACACTTTATACGCTAGGCACAGTGGGGGATTCAAAGGTGAGCCAGGCCCAGCCAGTGTTCCTCAGTGGTTGAGTGTCGACCTATGCACCAGGAGGTCACAGTTAGATTCCCTGTCAGGGCACATGCCCAGGTTGTGGCCTCAATAACCAGTGTGGGTCGTGCAGGAGGCAGCCGATCAATGATTCTCTCTCATCATTGATGCTTCTATCTCTCCCTCCCTCTCTGAAATCAATAGAAATATATTAAAAACAAAGGTGAGTCAGCAACAGGTGCTGCCAGGGATCTCAGACCATCTAGCTCCAATTTACTAAGCGTTTTCTATGTGCCTGGCGTCATGCTGAGCAAATGATACGGTCTCATTTAACAGGAAATGGCACTGTTATTCCCATATTATGGGTGAGAAAGATGAGGCTTAGACAGGTTAAGTGACATTTCTAAGGTCACACAGCTACTAAGAGCTAGGTTTTGAATCTAGCACACTGTCACCAGATCCCACCCCTACCACTCACTCTGCCTTCCATACACAGCACACCGTACCCGGGAAGGTGGTGTGGGACAGGGACCACCCCAGGGGCAGGGAATGGCTACAGACTAAGGCTGGCTTGGTCAACCAAGGGTGATTTTAACCCCCCACTCCTTTCCCTTTGCTAGAGCACCCGTGGCAATATCTGAAGGCATTTTTGGTTATCACAGTTGGGGAGATGGGGGATGCTCTGGTGGACAGAGACCAGGGACGCTGCTAAACTTCCTGTGATGCACAGGACAGCCCCCCCAGCCCAGACATTCTTTCAAGAGTGTGCTGAGGCGCCCTAACTGGTTTGGCTCAGTGGATAGAGTGTCAGCCTGTGGACTCAAGGGTCCCAGGTTCAATTCCAGTCAAGGGCATGTACCTTGGTTGCGGGCACATCCCCGGGGGGGGGGGGGTGTGTGCAAGAGGCAGCTGATCGATGTTTCTCTCGCATCGATGTTTCTAACTCTCTATCCCTCTCCCTTCCTCTCTGTAAAAATTCAATAAAATATATATTTAAAAAAAAAAAAAGAGTGTGCTGAGGCCAAGAAACCCTGCCATAGGCCACTGAGGCAGGAGACAGTCTGGGAAGAGCACTGGTCAAGGTGAACAAGGTCGGACTCTGTCTCGGCTGCTGACTGAGTCTTATCTCCCCCTCTGTGGGCCTCAGTGTCCCAACTCTAACCACAAGCGTATTCAGGGCACAGCAAGGGTGGACAGGTGGGGTGGGGATAAGTCTGTCTGGACTGTGGGCGGAAGGTCCAGCTGCAAGAGGCTGGATAATCCTAGGCTGTGACCTCAGACTGGGCAATCAGAGGGGAAACTTCTCCCCCTACTTCTTATTCCCTGGGGTTTGCTGGGAAGGTCAGCTTCCTCTCTCTCTCTCTTTTTCTTCTTTATTATTTAGCTTCCTTTCTTATTTTAAATTTTTTTCCTTTTTTTGATTTCTTCACCTTTCTTTAGTTCTTTTTCTTCTAAAAAACATTTTTATTGACTTCAGAGAGGAAGGGAGAGAGATAGAAACATCAATGATGAGAGAGAATCATTGATCAGATGCCTCCTGCACGCCCCTTACTGGGGATTGAGCCCACAGCCCAGGCATGTGCTCTTGACTGGAATCGAACCCAGGACCCTTCAGTCCGCAGGCCAATACTCTATCCACTGAGCCAAACCAGCTAGGGCGTCACCTTCCTTTCTTTGGAGTCCTCTCCCTTTGAGCTCTGGATCACAAAGAGAGCCTGGAATCCCTGGATTTCTGGGGCCCATCACACCTGGTTGGGCAGGCACACCCCAATCCCAAGGCTGGACCCAGGGGCAGCCCTGGCTAAGCCTCTCCTGGGCCAGTGGGGGGCGGGGGGGCCTGGCTCACCTGGGTGTGAGGTGCTGGGCCGCCGGGGCTCATGCCCAGAGCTTTCTTCAGCAGGAGGATCCTGAGCAGATCATGACTCAGCTGCAGTCTCTGGTCCCCCAGAGAGGCGTGGGGACCTGTCTCCAGGAGGGATGAGCCGGGGGGCTCCAGACTCTTCTTGCCCATGAAGTGACCTAGAAAAGAGGTTCCGATAAAAAAAAAAGAAAAAAAAAAAGAGGTGCCTCGACACAAGGAAGTCAGGGAGCAAGGATCCTACCACAGTGGGGAAGCTCCCATCTCTCCCACCTTTTAGTTCTCATGGAAGGAATATACTTCTCACCAAGGCGCCGTAAAGACCCTTGTGGTGGCAAAGCCTGTGTCTCAACTTTTCCTGAACAGGTGGAGGGGGTGGAGAGGATGGCGCAGCTAGAAGGTGGGATGGGCTAGGGCCAGGGCCAACTCTGCCAGTTGTGCCGCCTGCTTGGAAGTGGACAATGAGGAGGTTTCTGGACGGAGGAGGTGCAGGGAGAAGACAGAAGTTAGCAGAGTCGGTAGGTCTTGTTAAAAGAAGAAGAAGGGGCAGAGCTCTGAGGCAGATGAGCACCCAGCTCAGCCTTGTTTGAAACTAGCTGAGTGATCTCAGCCACTCTCTCACCTGCCTGGGTTCAAGTTCCCCATCTGAATTAGAGGAGCTCCAGGGTCCCCACCAGCCCAGGCACCGATGTCTGCGGCTGCGGGGCGGCCAGAGAAGGAAAAGGGGATGAGAGCATGCTGGTGAGGGGCGCTTGCCCGGGTCCCAGGGACTCACCGGTGGCCCAGAGGTTGCCCCGCGGGTGCACGCGGATTTTGCCGGCCCGGCTGCGGGGCTCCCGGAGGTCCCAGCTGAGTGAGGCGGCGCTGGCAGCGAGCAGAGCGAAGAGCAGGACGCCGCCGAGCCAGCGAGCGCCCCCCGCCCGCAGGGCCATCGTGGCCTGGCCGCGCCGCGGAGCTGCAAGCTTTCACCGCCGCTCCAGTCTCCCCGCCGCCTTCCCAGCTTTTAAACCGGCGCCCCTGGGGGCGGAGCCTGCCTGACCCGCCCCCCAGTGCCCGCCCCGCCCCGTCAGCCCTGCTCCCAGGTCTAGGTCAGGGGGCCCCCACAACCTGCACACCCGCACTCCCGCCCCAGGGGCCTCCGCTTCCTCATGCTAAGGACCTGGCCCTCCCTCTCCACTCCCACCCGCTTTCGCCCAACGAGTGATGGTTTCACCTCTAAGCCCCCCTTCATGAGGGCAAAACTGGGGCGAGGATGCCGCCTCCCTTGTCGCAAAGGCTTTAGCGCCCCGCAAAGTGCCAGGTACTAGAGAAGCTCCCTCCCCTGGGGGCTCTGTCCAGCTCTGTCCGCTCACTCGCCAGAAACCACAGCAGGCGCCTGGGATGGGGAAGTCGAACGGCGGTGGGATAAGGGGACACCCCCCCTGCCCCCCCACCTCCCCCTGCTGCGGAGAGCCTGGCCATCAGTTGGGCAGGAGGCGGCAGATCTCCGGGTCAGGGGAGTGAGCACTGGACTAGGAGTCCATATACCAGCCGGGTGACGTCCTGGAACTTCACTGTCTTCAACTACAAGGTGGGAATAACTACACTGCCCCGTTTTTAATCCTTTTACAGTTTTTAGCGGTTTTCGTGTGGCCGAAAGCAGCAGTCCTATAGCACTGCCTGCTCCCACTCAGCCCTGCCCCCTCCCAAGGAGAGGGCCAGTGGTTCTAGGAAGGAACTTCTGGGTCCGTGGCATCGCTTTATGAGCAAAGAAGCTGCGCTCCAGGAAAAGACACTTGCTTTGGCTTAAATGTTTACTACACAATAATGTTCAGAACACTATGCTGGGCACTGAAGGAGGGGAAACAAAAGGTAATTACCTGGCCCAGCCACGGTGGCTCAGTGGTTGAGCATCGACCTATGAACCAGGAAGTCAGGGTTCTATTCCCAGTCAGGGCACATGCCCAGGTTGTGGGCTCGATCCCCAGTGTGGGGCGAGCAGGAGGCAGGCGATCAATGGTTCTCTCTCATCATTGATGTTTCTCTCTCTCTCCCTCTTCCTTCCTCTGAAATCAATAATAATTTTAAAAAAGATAATTCCCTTCTCCCAAGGGAGTCAACCATCTCATGGGAGAGACGAGTACACAGGAGGAGGGGGGTGCAGACCAACCCCTGGACCCTGGATGCTTCCCTGAAACACTGCGCACTGTGGCTGTGACAGAACCTGCTCAATGATGGCACTGCTGCCTGCTAGGTCTGTGAACCCCCCTGTCCCCCAAAGGGGAAGCATATATGAGAACCTGCTTGTCATGCTGAGCCCCCAGGAGCATGACACACAGGGCAGGGACACTCCACTTCTAACCCTGGCTTTCCCCCCAATCTCCTTGCTTCTCATCGCCCACCCTGGCATTTACACCTCTCGGCATTCTTGTCACTGCTTAGCCATGGTGTACAGACAGCTCTTATCACCTCCCGTAACAGTCATCCCCTTGCGGCCCCCTCCCTCTCCTCTCATCAGCCACACGCCCACCCTATCTTCTCTGGTCCTCAGTAATTGGTGGGTACACACAGGAGCTGGCAGAGTGCTTGAGGGAATCTTATTTGGTGGGTTTATTTCTCACTGTATAGCTGGAAACAGCTCAGGGGTTGAGCCACTCGCCCAGACATCACACTGGAATCAGACTTCGGGTCTGTCTGCACCTCTCACCCAGGGCAGATACAGCCTTGCCTAAACCACACCCACTGTTTTACCATCCCAAGTTTAAACATCACGTTCCTTCAGACTTCCCAAGGGGAGAGGGAGCAGGCACTGAATTTTCAGTGTCACCTCTCTTCTGCAGGGGACCCTGGGATTCTGCTCTGACAGGTTCATGTACACTTAAGCCAAGCCTCCTGTGACACAGCCGGTTCACGGCTCCAACCACAGCCCTGAGACTGACCCCCGATGCCCTTGGGATCATTTTGTCTGTCTGCCTAGAACAGGCAAAAAGGGCTCTGAGGACCCCGGAGAAAGCAGGGCGGCAGCTGCACAGCCCACTACAAACACAGGAATGAGAAGCACCAGGCACAGCAGAGGGCGGCTTGCCCAAGACAGCACTTCTAAGTGGGATCTCCCGGGAGTACCAGGGCTCTGGGTTTATTTTTTTATTTATTTTCATTTTTTAAAAACTTTTTAAAAAGATATATTTTTATTGATTTCAGAGAGGAAGGGAGAGGAAGAGAGAGATAGACACCAATTAGAGGGAATCATTGATCGGCTGCATCCTGCATGTCCCCTACTGGGGATCGAGCCCACAACCCAGGCATGTGCCCTTGATCGGACTCGAACCTAGGACCCTTCAGTCTGCAGGCTGAAGCTCTATCCTCTGAGCCAAACCGGCTAGGGCGAGGCTCTGGGTCTAGAACAAGGACGTCAGCTGCCCATAGCCTGTCCCCCAAGTCTACGATGATGGCAAGGGAAGTCCAAAGGCCTCCATCCATCCTACAAGGAAGACTGACTGTGAGTCACATGGAGGTGCAAGGGGAAGCTCTGAGCATTCTGGACCCTTCCCAGGTTTCTACAACATTCAAGGACATCCATGGACAATGCAAAGAAGATTCACAGGATAACCCAAGCTTCAAAAAAGGAGGAAAAGATACATAGCAAATCCCGTTATAACCGATAAAACATTTCAACTTCACCATGGCTATTTTTTGTTTTGTTTTGTTTAATCCTCACCTGAGGGTAGGTTCTTACTGATTTTTTTGGGGGGGGGGGGGGAGGCATCAATTGGTTGCCTCTTGTAAGTGCCCCGACCAGGGACTGAACCCACAACCTAGTATGTGCCCTGACTGGAAATTAAGCCCCAAACATTTCAGTGTACGGCATGAGGCTCCACCAAATGAGCCGCCCGGCCAGGGTTGCACCATGGGTTTTAATCAAAGACTGCTTGAATAAAGGACATTTTTTGCTGTATTTTCATTACATTGGAATCCATTACAAGTAGCACCTTTCATAACTGAGTCTTTGTTGCTTTCTAAAAGCACTTACACGCATGCTTCTTAGTCACCAACATGATTTTGATGTAGTCAAGACTACTACTGGGGTGGGGAGGGGGCAATGGGGGAATAAGGACACATATGTAATACCTTAATAAAGAAAAAAAAGACTACTATTATGCCCATTTTACAGATGAGTTAACTCATGCACAAGGCATTAATTGCAGAGAAACTAAACATATGGAGAAAACCAAAGTGTGGTGGTTTTCAAACACATGAAAGGTACAGAGGACAACAAAGAAAGTGAAAGCAGAAATTTTAAATTAGACATTTCTAATAAAAGAAATGATGACCAGCACAGAGCTGCTCAGAGTAGGGCAGTGTAAAATCACTCTCCTGGTAAATTTCTGAGCACAGATCTCCATCTCTGTGGGCTGGGGAGCTGGAGGGAGACATCCTGAGATATCTCAGGTCCTTCTCTTTAGCTTCAGAATAAGAAAGCCGCTGTAGAGTCAGGAAAACAGCAGAATCTTTAAGGGAGGCTAAAGGGAGAATCAGGAATAGTTCATACAGTTTCCCAGAGTCAGAGAGATTAGCTAGAAAATCAGAACATTAGTCATTAATAAGGGAATATTTCAGAAACTGAAACTGTCAAAATACTTTTTAAAAATTTTTTATTTTATTTTTTACATGTTTTTATTGATTTCAGAGAGGAAGGGAAAGGGAGAAAGAGATAGAAACATCAATACTGATAAGAGAGAATCACTGATCGGCTGCCTCCTGCACCCCCCTACTAGGGATCAAGCCCACAACCCAGGCATGTGCCCCTGACTGGGAATCGAACCCGGAATCCTTCAGTCTGCAGGCTGATGCTCTATCCACTGAGCCAAACCATCCAGGACCAAAATACTTATTTTTTAAAAAAGGCAATATTCACAAAAGGAGAAAATATGGTTGGTGTGGCTTAGATTACTGCGTGTTGCCCCATGCTCCGAGAGGTGGCCCGTTCAATTCCCAGTCAGGGCACGTGCCAGGCTCAATCCTCAGTAGGGAGCCTGTTTCTCTCTCCCTCCCTCCCTCCCTCTCTCTCTAATGAGAAAGTGATGACAATCCTCATAGTGGCTAAGAAGGCTAAGCAGCTACTCTCAGGGAAATGGCACAGATGGCTAGGGAAGGTATGGATATCTAAGGAAGTGAGATGCCCAGGCCCAGCCTTTGTAATTATTTGGGTTTGGATATAATCGTCAAGAGTTTCAGGAGGCATTTCAGTAGCTGAAGTATACACTCTTTAAACCTCAAAGACGTTTAAAGGCTTGGAAATCTGCCTGAGAATCTCACTATATCTAGATTGACTATTGTGAGCAAATCCAGAAAAGAACAACGCAGAGCCTCTACAGAACAACTCCCAGGGGCTTTGCAATGGTGGGGTTTATTCCAAATAAGAGTCTCAATAGACGCTATAACAGTAGAAAATGGGTTACGACACCCAGCGCTGTGACATGATAAAGAGACCGACTCCAAGCTCTGGCTCCATCTTCCACGAACCAGAAGATGCTGGGCAAAGCTCAACTTCCGGTTTCTCTTTTGTAAAATGGAGTTTATTTTGAGGACTAAATGAAAGAAAATAAAAATCTATTATAAACTCAAAAGCACTTAGCAGAGCACAGGGCGAATTCTATGTCCTCAGTATTATTAGCTGGACCCCGGGGAAAGCAAAGCCTGCTGTAAGCCTGAAGCCCGTTACAGAGCAAGGTTCCCTGGACAGCAGCGAAGGCCCTGGTGTTGACACAAAGTCAACAAAATGCCTGGCAAATGCCTATTCACCATGAGCTTCTTCTTTTTTTTTTAAATATATTTTATTGATTTTTTTTTACAGAGAGGAGGGGAGAGGGATAGTCAGAAACATCGATGAGAGAGAAACATCAGCTGCCTCCTGCACATCCCCCGCAACCAAGGTACATGCCCTTGACCGGAATCGAACCCGGGACCC